AAAATTAGTTCCTAATTAGTTATATTAGAAAATTAAAATAAGTAATAATGCACTCAAAATAAATTTTGCACGCATTAAAATGTCTACAACAAGTAAGTTTTAAAACACTGAGCTTCACTCGTAATATCTATTTTACATTTTATAATTAATAGCATAAAATTAGGCTTTCTAGTTCTAGTTATTTCCGAGTAATTGAAATCTTTACAAAAAATGCCATCAGATACTGAAACAATACAATTCATATAAACCGAAAATTTCCCACATTTTCACAAAAGCCATTCATTTCATTTCCTGATATAACGATGAATAATAAGAAATAGTTCCTTAGGTCTGAAAAAATTTTAATGAAATCTTTAACTAAGCAACAAAAATGTTAGTAAATAATTACAAGAATTTGTTTCATTAGTCAGTTAAGCATCCACCAAAACTGATTTTTAAAATTCCATAAGTATGGCTTATTTTATCATTAATCAAATGAATATAGAACTTCTTTGCCCTTAGTTGTTCTCTCACAGCATGTCTGCTCAACTTTAAGAGTAATAAAGCATGTATTACGCAAATGATAGCTGGAAGCAAACGTAAATTAATCTAAGCCGTGGTCGGAAGCTTTGTCGCTGCGTTTTATCCCCCTCTCATAAATCAAGGTTACCCCTCATATTCACACAAAGAGATACTGTTTCCCTAATGAACACTGTTACATACTGTTACACTCGCTTGTAAACTAATTTGTACACTACTCGCTCTTTGGGATTATGAAGTGTAGACTGAGGGTCGGGAACTAATGACTTATAAACAAAATGAGGACTTCCTCTGTTTTCTGGCTGCTATCCAATGATGCAAGCAAGAGGTAGGTATACAAAAACATCAGTGAGGATATACATATAAAAATAGGAATGACTTTATGTTCATTTTATGTAAATACCACAGAGATGAAGTTATCCAAAACCCTTCGATTTTGTATACTATGAAATGAGTTCAGCTGTTTGAGAAGTCAAAGACAGATATTTATACGGGTATTACATAATAAATAGGGACATTCTCAAGGATTTGAGCAATTTTTGGTAATATTTTAGGAACAACTTAAAATTCCCTCATCAGATCATTCTTCAAGGTAAGGTTGTTTTTTTGCAAATAGTACTTTTAACTGCAAATTAGAGCTTTCTAACTGTTCAGATAAAATGTTTTAGCGAATTAGAAGGAAACTATTAACGATATTTTTAATTTTCATTTAACTTCTGACTAGGATAATTCGAAGGACAACGTCTACGGTTACGTTAATACGTCACGTTAATACGAAAACAGTTCAGAAATATAGGAAAGAGAGAACGTCAATATTATTATCAGCATAAATCTATTATTAACAGTTTAGCAGTAATTTCAAGCATTTTAACGAAAGAATAAATTTTTCTGTTTAGCTAAATTAAATCAATATTCAAAACAAAATAAACTTACTGTAAATAAAGAGAAAATAATAGTCATTTTAAACGAAAAATGTAATTGCATTTAGCACTGAAAACAATTTCTACAAGAGAACTTGAATAGTGTCATTAAGTTCAAACTTGCGTAAAGGTGGTGACAGTTAGAATTTTCTGCTTTGGTCTTTGGCAAAATCATATAGTTTCCTTTTTTAATAGACAATTTTGTTTCACATTAAAGATTTTTATAGATACATTTATATTTTTTCACAGTGAAACATTTCAGTCGTATTTTGCACAAAATACAATAATTTTGAAGACGGTAGGATGCTTGCAATCATGGCCAGGCCAATATTTTTTTTTCATTGACAAAAACAAGCCCAAATAACTTCTTGCAAGAAGCATGAAATTACTTGCTATGAAATTTGAACCTAATCTATGGAAGGAGTCAGTCTGGATAGTGAAGTCATTTATTTGATTATGCCGAGGTTGCTGCCTCAGGTAAAAGAATTCTCCAAATTAAGGAATCCCGCTATTTTAGAACACTTTTCAAATTGGTGTGCGGACAGATATAGTGATTTATTGGATCTACAGTAATATATTTGGAGAGAGAAAAGAGGGATATTTTAGCGGAGAACTAGGATGGACAGGGCAAAATTACTAGTCGAATAAGGGAAATTGCAATTGCTAAGTGCGAAAGAAATAACATTGATGGAAAACAATAGGCAAATATTAGAATCAAGAAAAGAAAGGGAGTTTTTAAATTAGAAAGTTTTTTTGGTAGAAAGTGGAAGCTTTTCGAATACAATTGAGCACTGTATTGTCGAAAAATGGCGAGTTGTCTCTAAGCAAGAACTGAATATCTTCTATAGCATAGATAGATACAGAGGCGCGGAATAGTTTCTAGAGTGAGAAATATTTTATGAAATGTTTTAGAAGTTGTCTGAAGCTGTAGAGACGAAACTCAGGACAGGCCAATGCAGTGTGAGGTCGAATATTCAGGTAAAGCATAAACGAATTGCAGTTTTCTTTATGTGGTCAGAAATTTGAAGACGAATGCAATCGTTGTTTTCGATATTTTGAAGTCTCTCGGAGCACGCACAGATTTTTTATGCAGTAGCACTGAAGAGGAACATGGAAGTAAGAGAAGAAAATTTGTTAGCACCGCCAACCCTAGACCTGCTACCGGAAGAAAACTTAAAGCTGCATAATTCGGTAAGAAATGTTTTGACATTGTTTGACGAAACCCTGGAATTAGCAATCGTAGTCACATATGAAATAAATGAAGGGGAAAATCTTCCATGCAGAGCGAAACCTTTTAAGAACCACAAAGATAAGAAATGTATTTTTCAGAAGCATATGAAACACACGACTAAAATAAATTTAAAATTCCCACAACTGGTACTCACACTAGTCCAATGGTTTTGTGTCGAAAAAAGAATAATACTTCCCCCACTTGAACAAATCAAAACTTGTGGCCTTTTGCTGTCGGTTACAAAAATCTCAACTGCATGATTAAATCCCCAATTTACCCCCTACTAATAAACGAGGGAATTTAAATTTGAAAAATTAGATCGGAAGCATATATTAAAATATTTTTAAGAACTTCCGGATACTTTCGGTTAAGCTTGAGGCCTGACAAGGAGTCGAAATCGTATTTATCACAACATCGGTAGTGTATGCATTTCTGACACTGCATTTGGTTTATGCAAATTACGATGTATAAAAACAGTGAAGATAATGGTAATCAAGCAGAACATTTTACACATAAAGCATTGTAGGACAATATTTCTGTAATTACAATGAAAGTCGTCTAAAAATCTGCGAACAAACTCAGTAATATACAACAGAGCTGCTACAAGTCGTTTCCTTTAAAAACGTTCGTCTCCTCAGGCAGATAGCCCTATCGTTGCTTGCCATAATATGGCATGGTGATGTGGCAGCAGCTTTACTGTGCCACTGCTGACAGAGCTATCGCTGAGTGTAGCTAATGTTAGAAACGACACTTATCAAGGAGCCCATGCAATCAACAAAACTGAAACCGATACACAAAAGTAACTGAGCACACAGCAGGGCAAGCGAATTATTCGCATGCGCCAGAGGCGGTCGCCAACAGTAGTTTTAAAGAAAAAAAATAAAATTATGTTAGAAAAATTTGAAATATTTTATATACTTTACGCGGTACGAATAACTGTACAGCATTTATTTGATCATTGTTTTTTTTCTTTCGATGAATCAACTTTGAGGTTAAGCGATGAATTCAGGGAACGTGAGCATGTACTTTTAATTGCAAATATAGAGTTTATCCGTAAGAAATAATTGTATATGGTTCCAGAAGTTTAAACTTTATTTTGAAATTACAATTTATTTCCCTAAAAGAATAAAAAACAGGAATTAAGATTTTATATTTTTCTGTTGTCAGGCTATATCTAGCCTTGTTAAAAAAACTGACAGCTTTAAATCTCTTTTTTATTTCAAGAGAGTAAAACTTTTACTACGCCTGAAGCGAAATAGGAAATCTAAAATCCCAAGTGGTCCCCATTGCATCGTACATTCAAAGCATGGCCTGTCATTTTGCTTTTAAATGTTCTTATCGCCTAGCGAAATTTAGGAACAGATAATAAAGGGACATACTTTTATCACAAATGCGTACTTCTAATTACAAATTATTACCCCAAAGCTTTTGTAGCTAATGCATAAATTAAGAGTTTCTTGCAAAAGAGGAGTACATAGTTTTAAACAGAAGCAATTAACTTTAATTTTTTCATATTTTTTCATATTCCATTTTTTAAATCCTGATTTAATGAAGTAATCTCAGATGAAAACGATGCTAACTCTATGAATATGGCTACTGAGTAAAGGCACACAATTAGTGATTGCAGTTATAAAACAATGTCTATTCAGGTGTGGATTGAAATTAAAGCATGTTATTGTAAAATAATTTTTATAAGGCCGGAAGGAATATTAGTCTCGAAACATGATTTTGCGCTCATTCCCTATAAAAATCATCCACTGTAAATGCATTGTTTAACTTCTCATATTGTAAATGCATGTTTGTTGCCATTTGGAAAAATGTAAGATATTTATCTTTCAAACAGAATACGTCTGTTATTAATTAATAAAGTTAGTCTGTTAATATTAACTAATATTATTTTTCATATTTTTAATATACTGAATTGTGAATGTTAATTCATATTTTGTTCTTCTATTGCTAGCTCTCTTCAGGAGTTATTTAGCAAGGTCTTCTATTACTTGAGAAATGTGTATGTGTTTCAGGATTAATATCCATCAACCAATTACCCAGTTATACATTTCGAACGTATGATTTCAATGTTTCATACATAGTGACCCTTGGAGAAGTATAATATTTTTTTTAAAACTTACGCGGAAGAAAACAGAAAAACATGCGATCAGGATCTGTTTTTTATCGCGGAAACTCTAAAAAAAGCTAGTAACAGAGTTACTTATTATTATCTGAAAAGCTAGAGGTTCCTAATGTCATCCTGCGACACATTCTGCCAGGCATTCATCAGTTGTCGCTCCAGATCTGCGATATTTTGCGGTGTCCGAATCTGGCGGCTTACCATGTCAGAGACATGCTCGATTGGTGAAAGGTCTGGTGAACTTGCCGGCCAAGGAAGAAAATCAAACGCACGGAGACAGTCCAGAGGTAGGCTAGCGGTATGTGGCCTGTCATTATCTTGTGGGAAAATGGCCCCATGATGGCGTGCCATGAAGGGTAATGCAACTTGCCGCAGGACGGTATCAACATACGTTGAGCTGTTAAAAATGTACGGAGGATGACTAAAGACGACCCGCTGTCATAAAAAATAGCGCCCCACACCATCACATCAAAGGTTATGGCTGTATGCCTATGTTAAACAAAGCCTGATTGGGACCGTTGGCCCTGCCCTCTCCAAACCCGTACACGGTCGTCATCTGCTTCTAGAGTGAAGCGGAATTCATCGCTGAACAGTCTGATGGCAGCCATGATGATCGGCTGCGATCAAAGACTTTGGCTGCGATACCACTCCAGACGACTCCGCCAAAAGATCAAAGGCAAACATCTTAAATTCCTCTGTGAGCGTAACCCCGCCTCAGGCTAACGTCGGTAGATGGTGGACGGTACCACGTGAGATATAGACGTGGATGTAGTGCGTTCAATAGTCGACAATGATGCCGTTGGGGCGATTCGGGCCTGGCGAACAATCACCCTATCTTGCCTCGCATTTCTGATGCTTGGTCTTCCAGAGCCTTCATTTAGTCCGGCAATTTCCTTGCAGCAACCATCGCTGCCAATATCTTCGCACAGCAGTGTCCGTACGCTGCAGGTTGCGGCCTATTTCTCATTATGTCCGCCCAGCTTCACGCAACCCTACAATGCGACCACGTTCGAAGTCGTTAAGTTGTCTGTAAAGTCTTCCATATCGTCGTAATGGCATCCTTAGTGTCTTCTTTACGGAATTACAATGGTAGCAACAAAAAGGATACATTTTCCGCCTCTGCTGTTGGTTTTATTCTTTGCGAATTGCGCACTAGAAATGCGCACTATGATCGCAATTCCTGTTCATTTGCCTTGAAACTTTGATCATTTGCATGTTCGATCAAGATGATTTTGCAAACTAAATTTCGTCACGATCGCAAAATTCCTTCTTGGTGCTTCGTTTTTTTTTTTTTTTTTTTTTTTTTTTCAAAAGAGTGTATATATAATATGTTTTGTGATTTTGCTGCTTGTGATATAATATTTTGTGATTTTGGTGTTGAGTTTTATATGGTGTAAGTGCGATGAACATGATATTTAATAAATAAGTTAAGCCCAAAAAAAGTTACTAATAAAACGTTTTGTAAATCCTCTGACTAAGAAATTGAACATTGATATGATGAATTGAGAAAAGAATGAAAAATTAACACTATATTGGTAATTTTAAACATATATTGTTACGCACCATTGAAAAGATTTCTGCTTTTGTTGTTGAACTGTATGTTGTGTAAGGGCGAAAAAAACGATCCTTAATAATGAAGCTAAAAAGACAAAAAAAAAATATGTTAACAGGTTTGCTTTTGTTTAGTTTATTACGGCAAAGCGAGCTTGGGCTATTTGCCTGAGGAGAGGTATACCTTCGTCGAGGACATTCAGGGAAACTGGTTCACATATACTTTACACATGAGGAAAAATATGAAAACGCCAATGCAGCCAGCCCATTCGCCTGGATTTGAACTTATATCGGAACTACCAGTGTTCAGCGATTTTACCGCTCGGCCGTTGATTGGGCTTGCGCTAGTAAGAATGAGTACAAAAGTGGATTCGTAATTCGTAATTCATTTTAGCGAGAGCGTAAAAAACTTTGACAAACACTCTGGTGTGCAACAACGTTGAATTCTGAATTATTTCAGATTTTTTAAATGCCTACAATTAGCTCACATTCGCCCTATATCTTTCTCAAATTTTCAATCGTTAATAAAATGCTTTTTATTCATAAACTCAAGTTTAAATATTTTTTTTTAACTTGTAATGGATGACACTTGATGTTAATACAGTTTGTTCACATATTAATGCCAAATCCTACTTATTTATTCCTGTTTATCGGAACTAAAGACGTGCTGTTTTTTTAAATATACTATAAGACTTACAAGTAATGACCATTTATGAGGTATTCTCACAAGCTGTAAAAAATTAATCTTATAACAACTTATAAATAATAGTATATGACTGTGATAAATGGGATTGTAATATTTAACGATAATAAGTGACAAAAGTAACACAGATTTCTAAAGATTTTTAAAGTATATGGAATTAAAGAATTATAGTTTTATAGAGTTGGATGAAGCGGATGTAATGTCCCATTATGTAACGAAAGTTCTCCCCATATTTCTATGTTAAAGTGATAATAATATATGTTTAAAATATAACCCTTTAAAATGTCCCTTGCTTCACAAACGCGAAAAGAAACCTCAACGCAACGCAAGCAACGATTAGAGAAAGAAAAACATAAGCTCCGATTGGTCTCGCATTTGTTGTCTTCAAAAATGGTCTTGAATTTGAGCACTTCCAATTTAGAATTAGAGATGAATGTATCGTTTTTATAGCTGAACTTTTGTACTTAAACTTCGCCATCAAATGGGTCTCTGAACAAAATGGTGCTGTTTCAGACTATCTCATTTGTACTGATTTCCCTTTCATCCTTGGAGATCTTAAAATGTATTATTTCTTCTAATAATATCTGTATCGAGATTCAGAAAGAACTGAAAAACCTAAAAGATAAAAATATTTCGGTTGCATTTTCATGTTCGTGGTCATACATGTGTTGTTGGGAAACGAAGAGCCGATTTCCTTGCTAAGGCTGCGACTAAGCGAGAAATGGACACTTTTGTCAATATTCCTAATGCCTTTTATAAGAAGGTCATGTATGAAAGTATTGTGGAGTCGTGGAACCACGAATTCATTAATTCAAATAAAGGGAGCTTAACTAAAACATTTTCCCCTTCTATCAAGATTAGATTGTCATGTCATCACTTCTTCACAAACTATAATTTAATCCAATTTTAATTTATAGTTTGTGTCCATGGAAATTTCAAAAGTTATTTGAACAGATTTAAGTTGATCTCCGTATCTGTCTGTGATTATAGCCTCGGTGGAGAGGAAAATGTTGAACATGTGCTTCTTCTATGTCCTAAATATAAGAACGAAAGAAAGGTCTTGAAACCGGAACTGAAAAATTTTAATATTAACTGGCCTTCAGAATTTTATTAATTTATTTCCGAGAGAAGTGCTTTTAACACTTTTTGTCAATTCATTGTGAAACTTTGTAATCATCCTTAATTTTAAGTCAGTTTTTTCTTCTGTTTATTTTGTATTGTGTTTCATACTAACTTCTGTAAGCCCCATGGGATACTATGTGGTACATGGGGAACTTATTGTGTTTCTTTAACAAGAAAAAAAAAATATCAGTGCAATTCCCCTCCAAACGCAGCTATGGTACTGCTGAACGAAGAATGCTACCATTAATACTATCATAGGCAACAACAGTACATAAGATGCAAGGTAGCACTGTAGATTATGCTGTTATATATCTAGGACAAACACTTTTTCAAGTAGGTCAAGCATATGTCACCTTAAGTCGTGTGAAATCTTTACATGGACAATTAATTGAAGAACTGGACAGCTCGAAACTCACTGTAAAAGTTCCTTGCAATATTGAAGCATTACAAGAGATGTATAGAATGAATAATTATGGACCGCCATCAGCTTCATAAATTAGAAACGAAAAAAGTTTAATAATGTTACTGAAAAGTAACTAAAATATTTTTTTTTTATTTACCTAAGTAGGAACTGACTTTAATTTTTATATATTACTTTTTTCTATAAAATTCCACTTAATTTTGTTTTGTGTAATATGTGAGAAGTTATAAGTATTCTTTATGTAGAGCATCATGTGCCGTTTAAATACTGCAGTGTAATTAAATAAAAAGTGCTGTAATATTATCGAAGTAGCGGATCTTAATTTAATTTCCCAAAGAAAAATTTCCGCGTGAGATTATTTTTTTAACATTTACATTATCAACATCATGCAAGTTCAAAAAGTATAATGTAAACTATCGTTTAATTATTATGATAACATAGCTGTGCAAAATGTAGGCAAATTATAGAGCCTGGTTATTAAATTTATTGATTGAGTAGATTAAGTATTACTACTAAAACTTTTAATTTTCGGTTTCATTATTTTCAGTTCCGCCTAAAGTTGTTGTCATCTATGATCAGGAACGTCGAAAAATAGAAGGAGTCATAGGTCCTTATAGGTTGGGATCAATGCTTCAGCTGACATGTGAAAGTATTGGAGGTAAGTTAATTTCTTTGTAAACTGAGAGCATATTTGAATTTTTAATGCTAGTGGAACAACATCTACTATAATGGCAAATAAACTAATACGTTTTATTTTATTTTAGATCCAAATACTTTGGTATTCACTTTCTTTCGTTACTTGCATACAAGTCAATAAAGAAACTAAGAATTTTTATTTGAAACGTCTGCAGTATATTAAAATTCACATTCTGTTCTTTGTTTTGCAAAATATGCTTTCATTAATCCAAAACTAGAACCACACAACTGTACTGTAATTTTTTATTTACAGTTCTTCATAAGCAGGCTTAACAGACGCTTCGCTCTGACTGGGACTTTACCCGTTTGATGATGTACTCTCAGCGTCCCGGCGAGTTTGTAATTTTGTTTGGGTTATTTCGTAAAATTTTGAAAGTGGCGAATTTTTAAAAGTAAAAATTGTGCAGCCTCTGGAGAAAGGGCTGTTTAGTATTTCAAGTATCCCCTCTGTTGCACTTACTCTTGTCAATTTATATATTTCGTATATAGATCTAAATACATTCAATGCTGCCTAGTTGTTTTTCCTAGTGACTAAATGAATTCAGATGGTTTATACTCACATCAAGACATTTTCCCTAGAATATATAACAGCATGTATCGTATGAGATCCAGATATTTTTAGCCCAAAGGGGCAATTTGCCCAAAAGGGCTATTAATTTCGTTTTGGCATATTGCGTCGTCCACTATAAAACGGCGTTTCACGTATCAAATTGTTGCCACAGAATATTAGAGCCCTACATTCTATTTAAAAAAATTAAGTAATGAAACATCTGGATGAATGTATGTTTCTCGCACTGTGAAGCAACGACGGTCGCTAGAGACATCAATTTTTGAATAATCTATCCTCCACTCGAATATGGGCATCTGGAAGCCCTGATTTGGAATTTGAAATTTGTTTTATTATCTGTTTCGTATTTTGTAAAATTTAAACGAATTGTTGATTAACAAACTCTATAATTTCAGAAAGAGTTATGGCAACACTGCACGAGTGTAAAAAAAAGTATCTCCAACGCGCGAGATTGTGTATCGGAAATTCTAAGTTTATGCTGTTTTTAAATATTTTGGGATATTGCTTTTAAACTGAATTTTATGGTTTGCGTGCGAAGAAGATGATATATAATATATAAAGGCAACACACAAAACTTTAAAAAAATGCCTCTTTGGGCGTAACATAAAATCTGAAAGCTTTCAGATATTTTTCATTTACATCATTTTTTAGATAGTTTATTTCATTAAGTGTTGGTAACACAGGGACTTACACAGGCCACATTATAGTTGCGACATGTTAAGTTCATATTGCGAGTTATCGTTTTATTTTATACTGTACGTTAAATTGATTTAATTTCTAAAATTTCTTAAAGGAAGTATATATTTCCTAATAAATTAAAAATGCATTATGAAAAAAGAGTGAAAAGACTGGAAAAATGAAATATAAGCTGTACTGATAAGAACTTTTGTACGAAGTTCACGTTAACGATAAATACTATTAACTTCTTAATAATATATTAATTTGAGTAATTAAGATATTCTTTTAAATCTCTAATTTTTTTCAAAAACGTCTTTATTAGAGTTTTCGATCATTGGCACGTATCCTAGTAGATTTCATGCTTCATTGGGAGAATTTGCTCAAATTTGTTCCTGTTTATGCAATTATTATCCTGGTTTGTACAACTCATTTATTTAGATTTTTCAGTCATTGACACTTATCCTGGTAGGTTTTTAATTGTTGGGAGATTTTGCCCAAAATCCCCCCCCCCGATTAAAGCAGTTATTGTCCGGGTTTAGATAACTTCTTTATTCAGATTTTTCAATCATTGCCAGTTATCTTAGTAAATTTTATTCTCTGTTGGGAGAATTTGCTCAAAATTATCTCGGTTTATGTTATAATGATAAGCCTATTCATAAGTATAAGAAAAAGTTCCTGATCAAAACATAGATATATTTATACACCAGTTCAAAAGAAAACAAAAGATTAAAAAACCTTAATGATAAAATTCCTTAAAGAAAATTGTATTAAAGAAATTCCTTAAATATAATAATTATCAAAAATATAATTGAGCAACATAGTTAGGAATTCCTGCAAATAAGATGTTTGCTTCCTTGATAAACAATAAATTTAAGATATTTATAGACTTCAAATTTAAATTACATATATTAGAAAATAAGGAATTAAGAGCCTAACAGGCCAGTAATTGGTCTATGATACTTTTTTCGATACTAGCAAACTGTCAATTAAATGATGTTATTATAAGAATGCTATCATTTAATTGACAGTCAGGATTTATATTTTTTTTTAATAATTCATGTCTAATTCGGTAGCAGCAGCAAAACTTAACAGTAAGGCTTCTGTTAAATTTCTTTATAAGATTTAGAATTTCAGTTATAAAGTTTTATTTCAAATAACTAATCTAAAATCTTCAGTTTAAGAAACAAATGAAATAGCAAAATATATTAATAAAATTATTTATATTCGTTCTTCAAAAAATTGTCCAACCGGTAATTTTATCTACAGCTTCAAAATGTTCATGGAACTTTATCAAGTTAAATAATTAACAGTGTGGCTGAGACTAATAAACCTAATTTTCCTTGAGACATAATGTAAATTGGGAGTACTGAATTTTCTCTCTTGAGTTTTACTGAACGGTATTTCTATGTAAAAATAAAATAACGTACTTTAAAACTATTAAATAGTTTTATAATTTATTTTCCCGATAAACTTGTGTGGTAATTCGTTATAGCAGATTGATTTTCATCTGCAAAGTGCAAGTGGTGATTTTCAGTATTGCCTGAACTATATTAAATAACTATTTTTTGTCAAGTGACTATTTCATGCAGCAATCGGTTTAATTAATATAATCAATAAGAGAATCAATTTGGATTACAATATAATTTAGTAAAAGAAGGGATTTTAGTTATTTGGATTACATATTTCGAGTGAAGATCTAAATAGCATATACATAAAAATGCTTACAATGCAAATTGGGAATAGCACTTGAGTCTTAATTAGTTTTAATAAGCTAAGATATGTATAATATTGACAAATAAAATGTTAATCATTAGCATATAAAATGCAAACAATGTAGCAAAAGCTTGTCAAAGCTTGATTCAAAGGAAGCGCATTTTATCAAAAAGAGTAAAGAACAATTAGAAAATGCAGTAAATTAGAATTTACTTGATTATTAGTTATAATTATACTTACAAAAACAAAATAATTTAAGAATATGGCAAAAAATTAAAATCCATTACTAGATTAAAAGTAAATTATATTTGAAAGAAACTCATTTGATGAAATATTTAAACAAGAATTTAGTAATTAGCCAGAGACTGTAACCTAATGAGATTTTCTAAACAGAAATCTTTTAGGCAAATAAAATCATGACTGCATATTTGATAAATGTTTTATATGAGAAATTGAATCACTATTCCGAACACTTTGATGTTGAAGTTCTGGAGATTATTTATGTGTAATTTTGATGGACGAATAACTAAAAAGAAGTATTCAGAAATTATGAAATGATATTTTTATTCTAAATAAATAAATGTAAATCCATGATAAAAAAGTCATCAAAATATAGCTAGCTAACCTTTCTAATTCATATGTAATAAGAATGGAATGAATCGACCATTTCGAACTTTCTTCGGGGAACGTATTTTTTAAGTGCTAATAAATAATTTGTAATGACGCTCTAGAGGTGAAGAAACATTAGAGCAAGGGTCCCCAACTTTTTTGTTCCGTAAGAGCACATACTAGAGAGCGGGCACCATTTACATTTACAAGGCTAATTTATAGTCAGTTAGAGTTAATAACACAAGCACATAAAAAAAGAGATAGGTCACACTTCGCTTTGTGTTGGTGTCTGTGTTGGACGCAATTTCTATTTCATTAAAAATGTGAAAACCTTCACATAGAATTTTATTGAAATCTAAAACATTTTTATTGGGATCGCACAGCGGCGGGCATAAGTTAAACGATCGGCGCCCATGGTGCCCGCAGCATAAGATTGGGAACTCGGGCATTAAAGTGTTTATGTTTCTTGTATTTTGCTTTAGGAAGATCGAAACATTAGATATATGTTTAAGCCTGGCTAATGCGAAACACAAGAAATATAAATAATATTTTGTCTAAAAGGTCTAATAGAATCATTTATTGTTACAAGTGCAAAGAAATAGAAACTAGGCTAGGTTATTTTTATTTCTTTATTTTATAATCATTTCCCCAAAAAGGTGGTGTGGTGTATTAAATTATGGCAAAGCACACTAGGGCTATCTGCCTAAGGCGAGAGATGCTTCGTGGAGAACTTTCTTCTTTACATATTACACATGAGGAAAACCACGAAAATGCCCATGCAGCTAGCCCGTTCGCGGGATTCGAACCTCGGGGCCGAACTACCAGTGTTCGGCGACTTTACCGCTCGGCCGCTGGTGGGCCCCCCAAAAAAGGAAAATTTCCCTTATCTAAAAAACTCAGCAGAAAAATCATTATTATAATCAGACGTTTGTTCTGCACTTGATCATTCAATGGCTATAGAAAAACATGATTACATAACGTTTCATATCAAAGAGAAAATCCAGAAATAATAATCGATGATGTTTGATGTCAAAGCAGCTTATGAATGGGCGCTGAAATTATCTGCTTCGTATCTGAGAAAGGGTAAGAAAAATTGAGGATTTTTTGATTTGGTTTAGTTTATTACGGCAAAGCATGCTAGGGTTCTCCTTAAAGGAAGGGATGCCTTCGCGGAATAATTGTTAAAGGAAATGGGCTCGTATATACGTAACACATGGAAAAACCACGAAAACGCCCATGCAGCCAGTCCGTTCGCCTACAGTCGAACCCAGGTCGGAACTACCAGTGTTCAGCGGTTTTATTGCTCGGCCGCTCGTGAGCAAGGAGAAAATAGAAAAAAAAAAATGCCATAATACATCTAGATGAGACTACTTAGTACACTACGCGAAATGCCAGAGCCGTCAGATATACCGAAAGTACCGATATTTCTTCAAACTGATTACACACTAACCAAAGATTTTTCGAAGAAAGGTTTAAAAAAAAAAGCAATTAGTTGTGTCTTTCGAATTTAAATTATCGCGCACAGTAACGCCATTCTAGTCATTCAACAGCATGATATGATAATGGGTTCTGTGTGCCTATAATGTATAAATCTTTCGATTGTGAATCATGAGAACGATGACTAAGGAACCGATCACAGAAATGAGAGATAAACATGCACCGCAAAGAAACTTTAGATGGAGTAGAAATAACTGAATGCCTAATTCCACTCACAGATGAAAAACAAAGAATAAGGAAATAGCAAGACTGCACTGTAGCTGACGAAGCAGCAGTAAAACCTTTTGTTGTTTTTATGCATATAAACCTTTATTTAAATAAAAACAAGTCGCTCACCTATCATTTGTTTGAAAAATTATATAAATTATAAATGAGAGTAGCTCAGAGGCGTAGGTGGATGAAAAAGATAGCACCCATATCTATGCGTAGAACTGTAAGTTGTGAACATGAAAAGCTTGCAAAATCATTACGACTCGCCGCGAGAGAATAAAGATTTTTGACCGGAGGAAGACGGTAAAATTTACGCAACTACGAATGTAAAGAGCTTCTTTTAATTAAAATATAATTTGTCTGGCATCTATAACTTTTCAAATTTGCAAACTGGAGTCTCGAATGCAGTTTGCAAAGGAGATTCAGAATACAAATGAGGGCATGTGAATTAGATGGTCGTGAAATAGATAATCTATATTGATAAAACGTTTAATTGAAACTGTTTTATTTTAAGTACGAAAGCTGAATTACATAATTTATTATCTGAAAATAAAATAGTATTATGGCAAAGCAGATAATAAAATAGTTTCATTCTGGCCAACCAAATAATTGTAAAAGCTAAATAAAATATCATCTCACCTCAACGTTTATGCAGAGACTATTTAATTAAGCTCCATGAACTCTTTAGCTTTAACTTCGAGTGTGTATGCTTAAAATGTACTGAATTTGAATTTTATTTGAATTTTTAAATTTAATTTTTGGAATTTGAATTTTTTAATGATAAGTATTACACTGCTGCGCAGTTTAACACTTTTATTATGATTAAAATGCTTGTAAATTAGAAATATTGCATTTAAAATTTGTTCAGTGATTTGACCTGCACCTTAAAGTTTATTAATTCTTCAGTTCAACATACACTTATAAACTGAAGCAAATTGCCTTATTTCCTTTAAGGTGAGCCTGATCCATTACTGACTTGGACTGGAACACGCCTAACCGTCAAAGAATCTTCATATCCTAATATATTCGTTAACGGATCAACTCTTACCATTTCCTCGTTAGCAAGAGAAGACCAGTGGTCCCATTATACATGCACCGCATGGAACAGCAATTTGAGTATGCCTTTGCATGCAACAGTTACCATTGAACTTATTCGTAAGTATTCGTAAATTGTTTATGGTTTAACTTTTGTCATTATTGTACTTAATATAGTTACTATGCTTTTTATTGTACCTGTGAAGGAATATGATTTTGTTCTAGCTGAGCTACGTTATATGTTTCAGTACTTTAATATCTGTAGCTTTACACTCGAGAACAAACGCGAAGTTAATATGCTAATACGTCTCTGTGCCGATCTGTAGTTGTCTGAAGCCTCATTATCAACAGAATAATGCATTTCTGATACGGACTATTGTGTTACATTACACGATTGTTGAGTATTATGGTCATCACTCGCAACAAATTAAATGGTCCAGCAATGTAGTCTAGAGAAATGTTATAAGGATTAAAGTCTTAATTCACTGCACTGGCCGTTTTTACGCAGGAAATCAAAATGTTTGGCCTTTTAATGAAAATATTTTTAACTAATACATACTGAGTTTTATATGTAAAATTCTAAATTCATAATTTAATTTGTCTGTAATTTACATTTTCGTGTTGATTGGTTACATGTATGTACAAGTACACATTTACATATGATTGCTTTACATAACAAAAAAATTATGCATATCAAACATATGCGCAGACAGAAAAGTGACTCACAAAATGAACTCTATAGCGATCTGAACGCAAATATTTGCTGTCATTCGCATTAAATACTATAAATTATCTTTATTGTCTGTTTTAGCAACGCGTAAATACGTATACGAACAATATCCAATGCATTAAAAAAGGCAGTCAAATAAATTCATTTCTGATTATTATTTTACAAATTAAGATATGAACATCATTCTTGACGTGGAAAATGAGATAATCCAGAGAGTTGTTTCTGCTGTGAACAACGCGAAAGTTTCAGGCATATGCAGTTATCAAAGACTAAAGAAGTGAAATGTACTGATTCAGCATTCCTGAACGTGTAAATATATTTAATTAGAAACGGAAAGAAATCTAGGTCGTTGCCAAGCTGTGGGATTCTAATAAGCAGAGATGAAAATATTATCCGATATATTCGGGGACAACGTCAAGTAATACTTAAAGATCATCCTAAAAAATAAATCACTTTGAACAACTTCTAATGCCCTTTAAGCCCCGTCTTACGCAAGGACACATATCTCCGAACAAGTTCCCCCCTCGAAGATGTGTCGTCTTGACAGAATTTCGTCTGGATAAGGTGATTTTGTAGCTAAGTTCCTCTCAGCTAGAAAGCCAATCGAATAAGTCAAAGCAAGATTTGTATTCAATAGATCTCCATCAATCTCATAGCAAATATAACAAGCAAAGTTTTCAATGCATTTAACTTTCAGTTCTTATTTCTTTAAATAAGTAGTTGTAATAATAATAATAGCAGTAGTAAATAGAACAGCAGATAATTAACAGCAGACAGAAAGTAATAGTGATTAAAAATGCCAATCAAACTGTAAAAAGCGCAAAATATGAAAACTAAATAAAAATTATAAATTTAAAAAATTATATTGAAACGAGAAAGAAAGCAATAATTGTGAAACGTAATATATATATATAATCATTACGTAGAAGCAGAAAATAAATCGATTCCATTATATATAGCCAAAAAATATAACACACATTGATTGCTGATAAGTACATTCACAATGAAGCACTTTTTAAGTGCGTGGTAAAAAAAGCTAATTTAACATTTATAAATAACTTCAAAATATAATAATTTTATTTACATAATTACTATAAATAATTATGTAAATAAATAATTATATAAAATTTCTTATATACTAATACAATAACGTAAAATAATTATGTTACATGTAAAAAGTTTAATAATAACAGAATTATCTTAATTACAAATGAATGAAACATTTATTTCAGTGAGATAAACCAGATGTATTTGAACTTACAATATGCTGGCTCACGGAAAATATAAACAAATCCTTAAATGCGCCAAGCGTTCGAGCTAATTGGACATAGTGCAAAAGTTAAAAATCCTTATCAATTTAAATTTGGAAGTTTAATTTAATGTAAAGAAAGGATAAATTAGGATTTTCTTCTTTCTATGACTTCTGGGAACATAAGAATATAGTAATATCCTTAAACAGAAAAAAAGTATTGTAACATATTTAGTTAATATTAACAAATGAGATATGGAAACATGCATGCTCTGTAGCTTACAATAGCAGATCACATGTATGAAGTTAAAAATATATTCTATTTGTAAAGAAATCAATCGAAAATTATTATCCAAAAGAAACATCGCATTATACATTCATTAAATTTGTTAGAATAATTGTTGGTTTGAGGATGGCGGTAACATTGCATGGCCTCTAAGATCACCTGATTTATTTCCTCTGGATTATTTTCTATGTGTTGCTATGAAAGGCCATTCTTTATAATATATCACTAACTTCTGAAATGGAATAGGTAGCACGAATCTGTATCCCTGCAGCTATGATCCGCGAAATGGTAGGTATCTTAAAACGTTTCGCTAGACTCCATGTCGCGTAGGTGTCATGTATGCTCCAGTATCAATGGGAGTACTTTCGAACACCTCCCGCGATGGTTCTAAAATATTACTGTTCGTCGTTTTTCTGTCTAAGTATAAATCTAAAGTAAAGGGATTAATTCCCTCGTTATTAACACACATACAAATTTTATTTAAAATATTGTACAGTGTTTTTAAACTATAATTATATTAGATACGAAATTATTAGGCTTAACATCTTCCTTATCCCAATGCTTATGTTAAGTAATCGTATCACTCCTGAGACAGGACGCCCGGAGGACCACCCAACGGCGCGCACTGTGAACTCCCAACATCTTGCCCCTCCTATGAACTGCAAATTCAGCAGTTAAATCTAATTAATCAAAATCATACAATAATTACTTATACAAATAATGATAAATAATAAATAGTAAGGTTAGAATCAGTGCCAAATAATGAAAATACTACACTAACATTGAGTATTAATAGATCTTAATTTAAAATTAAGTTCTTAAATGGAATTGAGACATGTGAAAATATTCGTATTCTAAACGCAAGCCAACACTACCAGCATTTCTTAATTCAACTGTTTTAGAGAAAAACATTTATTAAAAGCCTATTCTGGGAATATGAAGATGCATAATGCTAAGAAAGTAATACTATTACTGTTGCTAATAGGCATCCAGAACATTTAGGCTGTTGCTAATAAGCATCGTTTAAAGTTATCTGGTTTGTCTCTAACTCAGATTATCCTTACAAATTACGATTCCAAGATTCGATTTAACCAAATAACAGACCGAGAGATAACCTAATAATACGATACATTTCCCCAGATGGGAGGATTTTGCTGGAAATATTCTAAAAATAACGACTGCGGTTACTTTAGGTTTCAAATCTGCGTGGAAAATTTGGGGATTTGGAGCACATATTATCAAGATATGAAATTAGAAGAAGTAGTGGATATGCGTAGTAAACAAGGATGTATGCACAATATCTTCTACTGAATATTATTCATTAATTCTCTCTCTTTATGAACGAAAAAGCAAATATTTAATAATATATCGCTAAAATATCATACGTCTTCTCTGAAACTCGTTTGGCGATACACCTCGCCAACTTAATTTACTGAAACAGTGATGGTTTCAATGACCTAAGTCGCATAATTATAAATATCTAAGAAAGATAAGTTATGTAATAATAAAGACCAATAATATCAAAAAAGACTATCAAAATTTATTTTGGATTTTTCTTGCACTTTAATGCTCATAGAATAGCAATACCCTCATATAGCAAAAGAAAATGTTATCTTTTCTTTTAAATGTCTGACTTTTAAAGCAACGATTAAGTTTCGAATAACGAAAGCGCTTGCTTTTGTATTCAAATGCCTACCAAATTATCCAGAAAATGCGCCATTTTACCAAAATCTAGGATTCCATTTCTATATGGGCTGTTTACAAATATTACGATATGCGTTACATTTTTGTAATTCAACATCATTTTGCATTGTGATGTTGTGATGTTTTGCTTTACTGTTGTCAACAGAAATGTTAAATCAAGGATTTATGCAGTATACTTAAATTCATAAAAACATATATGTAAATAACGTTACCTTGTTATTAATGATTTATCAAAGTTACAAGAACGAAAATGCATATCCAATACATGTCTGTATATGTGATTAATAATACAGCTATACAGTTGTTTTGACTTGGATTTCAGCTTTCATTTAAGAAATAAATTAAGGTAATTAATTAAATTCATTCCCGTGAGATATACACTGGAAATTTGGGAAAAAACTATTAAATTCTTATCGAAGCGAAGTCACATATGCATTACTTAACTCTCTGACGCATTTTTAGTGTTACCACAATTTAGGAAACTTTTATTTCTCGTTTATGTACGCACTAATGTAGTACATTAATCGAATCAACGAATGGCGCTGCCTACGCATCTAACTATGAATCTTCTAAATTTCTGCAAGCGGTGGTTCAGTTATAATTCTATGATCAAATACTCAATCTAGTTTTAAAGGCATTTATTAAAATACTAAAATTAATCTGATTTAGAATCTAGAATCAAATCTTATGTTACATCTCATGAGCAGCGTTCTAGCTGCGTCATAACAGGTGTAAGTCAAATTCTCACTGTTGCCATTCCGAGGCAGAGGAAAGTTTGTTTCTAATCAAGCCGGAACATCGGCAGAGGAAAGTTTCAAGTCTAACCGGAACATTTCCTTTATGCAAATACTCAAAACAATTAACTGAAACTATCACACGAAAGGTGTGGTCACGTAACATTATCTGATTTAAAAATATTTTATTCCAAAATTGTGATACATGGTCTAACGATTCCAAAGTGTAATAATGAACTTTTATTTTGTGAAACTTGTACAAAATACCAACAATCTAGGTTATCACACTCAAAAGAAGCACACGGAACAAATCTGTCTTGAATTTATGCGCACCTATATGTGCAATCCCATGAAAGTCACTTCTTTTGGCTTTTAAAATACTTCATTTATAGATGATACGTACCTAAAAATCGCTGT